CCACATCTTGCCCCCTAAGTGGGGGTGTTCCCCAAGGGCCTCCTGGGTCCTCTTCTCTTTTGCCTCTATACTCTCTTTCATTAGGTCTCAAGGGTTTAACTGTCATCTCTTTGCAGATGACTCCCTGTTCTGTATATAAACAGCTTTAGTTTCACCCCCAAGCTTCAGGCCCTTATAACCAATTTTCTGTTAGACATATCAATTTGGAGTTTTAGGTGAGCATTTCTACTCGATATTCCCCAAACCGAATGCATCTTTCTCCACAAACCCTTTCCTCTTCAAAAGTTTCTATTCCTGTCAAAAGTAGCACTCTCCTGTTAGTCTCCCAAGGTGCATAACCTCATTCAGCATTAGCTCTGACTCCTTACTCCCTTCCCCCTACAGATCCATTCAGTTGCCAAATCTTGTCATTTCTATCTTCACAACAACTTTCGTGTCCAATCTTTTCTCTCTGCTCACATGGCTATTGGGTTAGTTCAGGTTCTGATCACCTCCTGTCCAGATTAATACAGCAGACTTCTCATTGCCTTATCTCTCCCCACTCCAGCTCATCCTACACATGGCCACCCAACTAGTCTTTTTCAAGTGCAGATCTAAACACAAGGCCCCCCCTAAGTGCTCAACTCCCCGTGGCTCCCCATTGCCCCTAGGATAAAACATAATTTGCTCTATTTTCATTTTAAAATCCCTCAAAGCTGTCCCTCAGCTATCCTTCAGCCTCTTTGGACAATGCGACCTTTCGACCTTTCCTCTGCCCCTTCTCTGCTTCCTCATAGAGCTCCTCCTTTCTCTTCCTTTGATATGCAGTTTAGGCGCTGTCTTCTGCATGGAGCCTTTCTCGATCTCTCCGAGTGCTACATTCAAACTACACATACTTGTATTTAATAACTCTATATTTATGCTGTCTGTATTGTTCTATGTACTGGTAATCTGCCCCAGTAGAATGGAAGCTCTGGGTGAATAGGAATTGTTTCATTCTTTGTACTTGTATCCCCTTTGCTTAGTACATAACAGGCATTTGAGAAATACTTGTTATTAACTGATAGATTCTATTACGGGAAACAATATAGACACCTCTAAGCACACATGCATGACATACAAAGTAAATACCAGGCAATTTCAGTTTGAGGGTAGACAGGCTCTTAGGAGGGGAGATCAAGAACAGGGAACTGTAGGAGGTAGCATTTGAGTTGAGTCTTGAAAGGAATTATGAATTCCAAGAGGCAGCGTGAGATGGGAGAGCAAAGTAGGAATTGGGCTCGGCCAATGCAAAGGCCTGGAAATGGGATATGGAATGTGCCATGGAATGTGTACAGTGAACAGGTCAGTTTGGCTGGAGAGGAGGGTAAATATTCATTAGCAAGTAAAGAGAGGTTGGAGCCATGATATGAAGACTTCTAACTGCTTGAGGAGTTTGGATTTCACCTTAGAGGCAATTGGGAGCCATGATGCTTCTTGAGAAAGCAAGTGGCACAGTGACTTCCCCCACAGAAGGATGAGGTGGAGGGGGTATTATTAGGAAATGACTGCAGTGTAGAACAAAAAAAGCATCGATAACATACTTTTCAAAAATTCAAATGTTTTGTAAAGCTTAAAGCACTGCAGAAACACCAACAATTGCTTAAACGTGGTGTCCAGAACTGGACAAAATGCTTCTGGTGTGTCCTGACCAGGAGAGAGTCTAGAGGGTCTATTGCCCCCTGACATCCTGATCCTGACTTCAAGCCTCTCTTAGAGTAACCTAGCATAGCCTCAGCTTTTGGGGCTAATGTCTCACTCTGTTGATAGCAGGTGCTCAACCTCTTAGATCCTCCCCCCTCAAAAAAAAAGCATTTTCTAGTCACACATCCTGTACCTTTCATCAAGGATCTCAAAGCATTTTGTAAGTACTTGGTAATCTCAATCCATTTCAGCTGTGAAATCTGCAAAAGGACCAGTTATTGCCTGGATCTCTCACAGGTATCAGAAACCTCTGGAACTGGAAGGGGAAGGCTTAGAGGCCATCTCACCAACTCACCAACAGGTGAGAAAACTGAGGTCCAGAGATAGAAGGAATTTGCCCAGTCTCACATAGCTAGTCAATGGCAGAACTGAGATTTGAACCCAGGTCATCTGACTCCAAGTCCAAGACTTTTTTTCTTGCACCGGGCTGCCTCTCCCTGGTGTTTCAGGCTCAGTGCCAGGCCCTGAAATCTTCTAGCAAACTACCCCCCCACACACACACCAATTTTAAGTTGACAAGATTTTTTTTGCTTGTTTTGGCCTGGCCCTGTGATTTCATTGCTGTTGGGCACTCCTGGTAAGGAGCCTCTCTTTACTCACGTAGGTGGAAGGCTGCTTTGCAACTTGGAGGCTTAATTGTCCAGGGAACTGAAGGCTGCTATAGCTTGGCCATGGTCGCACAGCCAGGATGTGTCAGAGCCGGGAGCTGAACTCAGCTCTCTATCCAAAGCTGGCTCTCTATCCACTATGCCAAACTTCCTCTCTGGTGGGCATATTCATTGGAACATTTGTCAACAGATCACCTAAATCATTGCATAATGGCTTGAAAACTGTAAGGGACCTTAGGGGGATGAGGAAGTTGAGGTTCAACCAGGGTCATAGAACTTCTAAGTGTTTTTGGTGGGAGTTCAACCCAGATATTCCCTGATTCCAAGGCTGGTTCTCTATCCACTATACCATACTTCTTCAAATCATTTTCTTTCTTCAGATCTACACCTCCTCTTTACTTCCTTGTTTCTGTTGGTGGCACCACCATATTGCCAGTCACCCAGACCCTAATCCTCAGTTACCTCCAACTCCTACGGTCATAGACTAAGATCTTGAGGGCATTTTAGAAGTCATCCAATGCAATCCTCTATTATTAGCATCACCATTTCACTGATAAGGAAGCTAAGGCACAGAAAGGTTGTAGCAACCTACCTAAAATAGCACAACTCAAAGATTCAGATTCATAGATTCAGGGCTGGAATTTGAACCCAGGTCTTCTAACTTCAAACCTTTACTCTACTCCTCTTTCTTCATCTCCGCTTCCCTAATCTTTACTCGCATATCTCATCCATTCCCAACCCCTGCACCTCTTTAAATCTGATAACCTTTCACATGTGTTCCTTCTTTTCATTCCAAATGATTTCACTCCAGTTCAGGCCCCATTATATTCTCACCTGGCCTATTGAAATAGCATTCTAACCAACGGCCCCACCTATTAACTCTACTTTGACCAATCCCTCACCTTATCTTCTTAAATGCAGAGTACCAGGAGCTCCTTGATGCTTGGGGACTACCATCCCATAGACCCCAAATGTCAGAGGGACCTTCCATGTATGACCAGGAACCTCACCTCTCCACCCCTCTGCCAAGATGTTGTTCAGCCTGTGCTTGAGGACTGGTGAGGGGGGAGCCTGCTACCTCTGGAGTCTGCCTAGGCCCTTTGGGGACAGCTTCCATTTTCAAAGGTTTTTCCTTTCATCTAGCCTTAAGTTGACTCTTTATAACATCCACCCCTTTTTCTAACTTCCTGTACTTGGCTCCAGCAAAATTAGCCTACTCACTACTCCTGTGACATTTCTATGCTTTCCTTCTTCCATGCCTTTACCTAGGCTATTCTTTCTGCCAGGAATGCCCTTGTCACTCTCCTCCCTATCTTTGCTCACTGAAATCCTCACCATCTTTCAGGGCCTACAGCCAATTAGTGCATGAAGCCCATCCCTTCACCAGAAATCTCTGGCTTCTCTAAACTCATCTCATTTTCTTCTTTTGTGCTCTAAACACATTCTCCTTCAGATGTGTTCACATCTCTTCTCCTCCTTTAGATTGTTAGGCCTTTGAGAGTCTTTTGAGAGACCATCTCATGGTCCTAACAGGTCCAGCACATACCCCACACTCAGCAGTATGTAGTGAATGGACTTTGCTACATACTTCTAGGATGGGAAATGCCTTCTATCTACCACGCCACATGGCCTCTCATGCATATATGAGTGCAGCTGTGTCTAGATGTGTGGGTTTAATGCTTCTGGGCGGGCTAAAGTGAATCATCTCAACTTCTCATTCATTCAGTATCACCAGAGCCTTCCATTCATATATCTTCTAATCCTGCCTTCTCCTGATGCCTCTCGATGGTGTGGAGGTGACCCTGCAGTAAACCTTAAAGTATACTATGCCTGTGTGGCTGATCTTAGATATAAAGTTGGATTTACCTTAGCAATCTAGTTCAAACCCTCATTTTACAGATGAGGAAAGTGAGGCCCATACAGATCAAGCAACTTATTGAAGGCCACATAGGTAGGTAGTATTAGAGCTAAATCTCTAATTTGCTATCATAGGTGAATGAAGTTTTCCAGGGGAGTGATTCTTCCAGATGTTTAAATCTAACATTTTCATTTGAATCATTCTGGAGGTGAAAAGCACACAGAACTGAAAATCATAAGGCCCAGCTTTCATTCTCTGCCACTAGCTAGTTTGATCTTGGGCAAGTCATTTCATTACTTTATTCCTTTGGGCCTCAGTTTCTCCATATGTAAAGTGAGGAGTGGGATGTCATACTTCTGAGGTCCTTTATGACTGTCTCTAAAAGAATATTGTTCTTTGTAAGGAGCCAAATGTCAGATCAGAGCTTACCTTTACTTAGGCATGGGAAACTGAGGGTGCCTTGAAGATTAATGGAAAGACACAGGGCAAATCTCTTTCAGCTGATGACTTCTACCCAATCAGTGGCATAATGGATTGAAAACATCAATACTTCAAACACCTGCAATTCCATGGGTGTGGGCTCTTCCTCTGCCACTAATCTATCTACCACTCAGTAGATAATGCCTTAGAGAATTGTGGGAAGCTCATGGGATTAAGTGGCTTGCCCATAGTCACAGAGTTAATAAATGTGAGAGATCAGACTTGAATTCATGTCTTCCCTGGAGAATGGAAACCAAACCCATGGTAAAAACCCAAAGCAAACCACAACCCCAAACCATTGATACCAAAAGATGTCCACAGAGGCCTTGTGACACGTTGTTTTTTTCTTTATTGGAGACCTGTACAATACAGCAGCCTCTCTCTCATTCTCTCTGGGCAGTACTTTACACCTTGTCTCTTTCTTTTTTTCATTTTTCATTCAGAATACTGTACAGCTGACACACACAAAGAAATCCCATGGGAGGGAGAAAAACATAATACAAACTGGCATATTTAATCAAATCAAGATTGTATGAAATAACAAGCAAGGTGAAATGTCTGTCAATGGTTTTAATTACAGTACAAACAATATAAATTAAGCATTGTTGAATCATCATTGTAAAACAAACTTGCTGAATGAGGTAATATAAAAACAACTCAAAAGCGCATCTCTTCATTAATTCCACACTGCTTTTTCCATTTGTACATTGCTATTTACAGAAACAGAAACAAATAAGAACAACCGTGCGTTAACATCTGCCCCGTGCCAGGCCTGACAGAGACCTTTCAGACTTGCTCCCCTGCCCCTTTTAAGAAAAACACACGCTGACAAGATGAGAAGTAAAGAGGGTGGTTGGATAACTGGAGAGGGCTAAGAGAAGACAGCCTGGGGGTGGCCCTTGGGAAGAGAGTCAAGCGCCCAAAGGAAAACTGATACACTGATCCTGAGGGTCACTGACCCTCAGGGTGGGTCTCTTTAAAACACACTGGCTGGCTGTACCGAGTGAAAAATATTCAGAACATACCTTCCAAAGTCAATCAGAGTGCCCCCAGTGTAGAATCCCTCCTTCACCTATATCCAATGCTTCGTACCTCTATCAGTGAGATTCGTATGTCTTTGGAAAAGATGTAGATGATTCTTTCCTTTTGCAGGACCCAGTGCATCTCAACTGGAAAATTGGACCAAAGAAAGTGGACTTTTCATGGAGTGCTCATTTTCCACAGAGAAGTGACTTAGAGAAGGACCCCTCCAATGGTCATGGACAGGTGAAAGATGTTCAACTTGCATATGCCTTCAGCACAAACTGGGAGCAAGCATGGGGGACATTTTTCAAATCTTTGAGGAAAAATTACTTTATATAGAAGGAGACAAACAGGGCAATTTTGTTTCTATCTTATGTACTGATATACACTTAAAAACTCAAATTGTACCTAACAAGTTCACAGTTTCACATATCATCCTTTTTTTTGTGTTCTTCCATCGATATCAAAATATCTGTGTTTATGGATGACTAAGTTTTACCTCATACATTACAGGTGAATTTTCCCCCTTTTGAAAAGTCTTAATTTCCCCACGTACTCCATTGAATAACCCACACTATTCTTTTACCAAGGGTCTTCCTCCAGTATCCCTCTATGCTCATAATAAAGTTTGCAATCACAGAAAACATGTATTTGCATAAACAATGAATGACAAATAATATTTCTAGACTGTTTCCCTCTTGGTGACTTATTGTATTCATTCCTATGTTCCCACACGTCATCCCAAGAATGCGTGTGACATATATACGGAACTTCCAAGAATGTTAGAAGGGAGGCAGGCAGCTGTGAGCTTGGAGACTATGAACAGTCTACATGTCACTCAGGAATTGTTACACTCTGTGGGCCAAAGGGTATTTCTGAAGATTTGTATATACAGGCATATACAAGTGGCAGTAAGATCTGAAATTGTCTTCAACCAAAACCATGATCCCTTCGTTGATAAGGGCAACTTACCAGGATTTTCTATGATTAGCTCAACTTCTCATTTCTTATTTTTAGTATGGATTTCAAAAGCAGTTTTTAGCTTTCTGTCCAAGTCTAAACAATATCCAGCAAGAAAAATGAAGGCGCTTTCCTTGAAATATGAGGGAGATACTGGCTTTCTGTGACTGCTGTCATAATATTCAACTGCACCCAAAGCATTTATTGAACAACAACTGTGTACCAGGCACTAAGTTATATGTTAGGCATAAAAATCCAAAAGCCAAACAGTCTTGCCCTCCTGCAATTTCCATTCTACGTATTTGCTACGGTTGTGTTTTCTGAGGGCATCTGAATTTGTTTTGGAGAGCAGTGCAGTGAAGGTACAGTGAAAGGAGCACTGGAGTTGGGTCCAAGTTCTGACTCCACCACTTCTAAATGGATATTGGACAAGCCAATTCACTTTCATCTGGAAAAAAATACTTGGACAATAACATGCCCCCTGTCTACGTTACTGGGTTTTGGGAGCATCGAATGAAATAATGGATTGGAAAGTATTTTTTAACCAGAAAACCCTGCTGTTATTTTTAAGCATTATATTGTAGGCAGTGTGACTCAGCGGAAAGAGCTCCAAATTTGGAATCAAAAGACTTGGGTTTCAAACCAGGCTTTGCTGTTTACTCTGTGGTTTAGTCAGTTTACATCTCTTGGCCTCAGGGTGCTCATCTGTGAAGTGGGACTGAGGAAATGGAACTACATGATCTCTTAGGTTCCTTCTAATTCCAGATGTGTGGTCTCACAGCAAAATATTTATTTTTTTCAATGGTTTCTTTTATGAACTTCATGAAGGCAGAGGGCTTTGAATCTCACTCAGCACCTAGGACAGTGCCCTACACATGGTGTGTTTGATATGAAGTACCAATAAGTAAGCTTTTGTTAAAGCACCTATGTGCCATACACTCTGCTAGGTGTTGGAAAAACAAAAGAGAAATGAAACAGCTTCTGCCCTCAAGGGGCTTATTGAAGATACAGAGGAAATGACCTGAGATCTGGCCCTTTACACTTCCTGTGAGTGTTTGCATTTGCACATGCATGAACATGCATGATATGGGGATATGGAGATAATATTGCTGAAATCCCCCAAATACTTTCCAACTCAGAGTTCTTGAATTTAAAAAAAAAGTTTGTTTTTATTTTTGATCCAAAGAATTACTATCTTAAAATAACTCAGAGATTAAATTACCTCTACATCTGACCTAAAATGAAAAATAAACTGATCTTCAAAGCTGGCCAGGACCCCTCCCTCCCCCCATGACCCTCCAGTTGGGGTTCAGACAAGAGGCTGCTCTCTATAGCATCCTGAGCAAGTGGCCACCCAGTCTGTGCTTGAGGACTCCCACTGAGGTGAGCCCACCCCTGCCTAGGGCAGCCGATTCTGCTTGTGAAAGCTCTCAATAATTGGACATTTCCCTTCATAGCAGAACTCTATGTTCCTCTTTGCAATTTCCATTCATTGGCCCCAGTTCTTCTCTCTGGGACTCAGCCAAAATCTAATCCCTCTTGGAGGTGGTGAAGGTCTACACATGTGAAGAGCATTGGGGGTTCCAAAAGGATGAAGGGAAGGTCATTCCCTATCTCTTAAGGATGCTCTTGAGCCGCCATGGAGGAAAGCAATCAACTTTCTTCTCAAACCACACAGTTGGACTCATCAGTGATTAAAAATAATCCCTCCAGAAATAGGAGTGAACAATGAAAGGTTTGGTCCCTTCCTCTTAGCCACTGGCTACTAGCAGAACATCTTGTTTAACCCACTTGTTTTGCGGATGTGGACATCGAGGCTTTGAGAGGCTGTGGTTTGCCTGTGCCCTGACCAATGGTGAACACTAAGATCTGTGTATTTTTCTTCAGTGGGCCATGTTTAATGGACCATACTTAATAACAGCCTCATCTAGCCTCAGTCACCATGTTCTTTCTCACTCTTCTCTTAAAACAACATGCAAATCATGCATCCTGGGCTAAAAAGCCACATAATTTAGTACCACGATGGCTAAGGCAGGAGGCGTGTCTGGCAGGCCACGCACTCTGTGCTCCCTGGGATGCTGTTCAAACCTCTCCCCCCATTGTTTCTCAGGTGAGGAGTATTGAAAAGTCATCCTTGGACTGGGTGGCCCTAGTGGGCTTTGTGGATAACACAAAAGGAAAGACATGGGCCAAATTAGGAAACGTTGATGGTGATTTACATCCATGATTTTGAAGCTCTTAGTAACCTTTCCTTCATTTTTTCAAAGGATGAACTCTGAGAGGTGAGACTTGGCAAAGTAGGAAGACTGACAAGGGAGTTGTAGAAATAAAGGCGATATTATACAAATCAACCAAACAGACTCATGTCTTCCATGTATTTCTGTAGGCATTTCCTCCTGAGAGCTTTCCAATTTATTTTTGTGTTTGTTTATAACGTGCTTGGGGGATGTACAGAATAGGGAAGATGGGTTCTGGAGAAAGTCAATCAAAGCAGAACTAGGAGCAAGGATGGAGAGAGAGGTTAAAAGAGTGGACTCAGCAGGTGAGAACTTTTTCCTATCATGGAGACAGTTATGCCTGTGTTTTATAATGACTATGGAGGCAGTATGGCACCATGGGAAGATCATGGGCTTTACAGTCCTCTCTAGGATCTGGCCTCAAATTTCACCTTTGACACTGCCTATGTCACCTCATGAAAGTCACCTAACCTCTCCCAGCCTCAGTTTCCTCACCTGTAAAATGAGGCAGTTGAACCAAGTGGCTTTTTAGGTCCCTTCCAACTCTAGATCTACGATCGTATGATTCTTTCACCTCAGCAAAGACTTTCCTTTCATCCTGAATGTTCAGTGGGTCTAACTTTCAGCTAGGTCATTCCATGCTTTCTGGACAGGAATCCAGGTTTTCTGATTTTCCCTTCTATGCTGCCCAAAGAAATTGGTGAATGAGAATGGTAGGGGCCCCTTGGAACTTTCTCTGTGTGAACTTTGTAAGGAAAATGCTAACATCTATGTCTTTTTTTTTTTTTTTTGGGTCAGGCCACCATCCTGAAGGCCCAGAAGAAAAAAAAAGAACAATCCTCCCTCCCCACAACTTCCCAGCCCCACTCAAATGGAGACAGGCTCCCTTTGTGGAATATAAGTAACAAATCACCAAACTACTTAGGAGCCAGGAATGAATTTTCTACTGGCCAGAGCTCATTACGCTTGCTGTCACCACCTCCTCCAAGTCCAATAATCTTCATCTGTGGGCTAGTGGTATATACTGCCACACCCTTCTGGAATATGTAAATGTTGATGTGAACTTATTGGGAGATAGGAGACTAGCTCTGTTCGTAAGGCAGGAGATTCATTAATTCACCACTCTACTCATCATGACTCCACTCATGAGGGCTGCTCATCTCTGGGAGCATCAGGGCGAGGTAGGGAAAGGGTGGGATGGGGAGGGGGGAATCTGTGAGTCCTGAGATCTGAAATCCTTTCCAGTTAAGAGAACCTGGGCATTGAAACAAAGAGAGCAAGGTCTCTGTGTCAGATCTCTCGGTAGGGAATCCTGTTTCCAGCAGCCCTCCTTTACGTAAATTTTCTCTGAACCTGACTATGCAATAAACACTCATCCATTTTAGCAACCATTCAGCCAGATGACGCAACTGGTGGAAGGGAGGAAGGAAGCTTTGCTGGGATATAAAATCCCAGCAATCGTCTTCCTGTAGGGGACGATGACATCATTCACTATCTTTTTGCCTCCTGCTTTTTGAATGGTCCTTCCAATCTTTGCTCGTCTCTTTTGAGTCTTTTTATTAAAACCAAACCAAACCAAAAAAAAAAAGGTTTTATCTCATCCACCACTTCCTACATAGCTCTTATCAGCCACGGATATAGATATTTTAAACTTTATCTTTTGCCCCTCACCAGGGGCAATCTCTAGGACGGGTCTCTCTCCTTAAGTCTTTTACTGTCTTTGTGTTAGCAAGATATTCAAATACGAGGGTGGGCTTTGGGAATAAGGAAGGTACTTCTGCTTTTTCTAACAGCACAAAAGCAGACTCACAAACAAGACCCTCATTTATTGTTGCCCCCCCCCCAAGCTCCTCCTCCTTTTGAAACATTTTGTTGCCAAAACTTAGGCTCAGGACAGGGGCACTTCCTCCTGGAACACCAACAACACGTTAAGAGGAGCAGGAGCAATGCACTTCCTGCTCTGGGGAGTCAGACTCTAACTGATGGATTTCCATGGTGGGAGGTGGGGAGAGGGAGAAAGAAAGAAGGGGGAAGAAGGGGGAAGAAGGGGGAAAGAGAGATAAAAACAGGCACACAGGGATGAAATACGTAGCTCAAACACGGAAGGAGAGGCATTGTCAGTATCACACTGGGGACCCCCTCCCTCCTCCTCCCATTCTTAGACGGACATGCCACAGAATTTTAATTCAGAAGAGAAACTGATTTTGAATATTTTGTGCACACGAGACATTTCACTCAGCACTTCATGGTTTGCTCCAACTTGTCTTTTTTTTTTTTTGGAAAGGAGAAACAAACAACCCCCCCCCCCCAAAATGAACCTCCCAAGCCATTTGAAACATAGATGGCACATGTGAAAAACTTGAAATAGGGGTTTTTTTAAATTATTTGGCTGGGTGGGGTTAGAAATGCTGTCCACCAGTTTCTAATTCAGGTCAGATTTCCCCCTTCACTGTCCCAGACCCTTCTTTCCACCTTTCTACTCCCAAGAGCCTCTTGAGAATCCCTGCTCCTCTTCCTCAAAAACAATCCTGGTTGTTTTGCCATGTCTATAGCTGGTGGGCGTCAGCAATAGCCCAGGGTAGCAATACCGAATAGCAAAACACGTACCAACACGGCGGCTAGGGATGAGTGTTCAGTTTTAGGCGGCTCTGTCTCCCTCTGACGACAGCCATAGAGAGGGAGGCGAGAAGGGATGCTATTCATGGGCCCCCTTTCTCAAGCATTTGCGTTTTATTAGACAAGCCTAAGCTTCCTCTAAGACACAGCCCTTTGTCTCCGTCGGCAAAAGTGTTACATCTAAATTGTTTCCATAGCTGAAAACCACCCTCCCCTCTCTTTGCTTCCTAACAAGATTCAGCATCACCTTTTAAAAAATAAATAAAATGGGCCACCATCTCATTCTAAAATGCCCTTTAAGAATATACAAAAATAGATGGGAAGTGCCTGCTACTGGGGCCCTTTCTGTGTCAATGACCCGTAACCCTCCCAGCCCCTCAAGTTGGCCCATGATGTGTTCACATGTAGGTCAATTTCCAAATCAGTGGAGGTGCCATCCATCTGTACAAAAATCAATGCATCTTTGTGAACTTTTTTTTTATTCAAATAGATTTTACACTCATCTAAAGACACAATACAAAAATCTGTATAACTTAGGCAACACAGCATGAGAGGGACCCCTGAATTTGACACACCCACCTTGGCCAAAGGACAGAAAAAAATAAAACAAATCTCTCTCTCTCTCTCTCAGCTGGAAAGAAAAAAAATTGCTGTGGACTCATTTATTGAGTTGACTAAACGTACTTGAAATGTGATTGTTAGCAGGGCTTACGATTTCCTTTCTGGATTTCATCGTTACTCTTATTTATTTTTTCCCATTTTGTTGTTAACACCAAGGAGACTGCAGTCAAATAATACTCGGCAACTGCTTTTCTCTCTTTGGGCTGAAAAATTAAAGAGATCCTAAATTATGACAGTGAATTTAGAAAGGAGGACTCCAAGGGCTCCGAAGAACATGTCTGAGATAATATGATGCTCGGAAGAATATTGCAATCACATCCAGGCAATCACCGATGCGTGCCGAGTAACTACCTTCTCAGCTAATATGCTTTTTTCTCCGTGATGACTAATCATGTCCTATTAAACAGCGGTAATGCTGGAAGAGCTCAACTCTACAAGTGTAATGAAGCCAGTATTCTCCCTGGACAGATTAGCTACAACTGATTTGACACACACCATCATAGGGGCTTCAAACCTGACAAACTCTGTACTTGCCTCTGATTTATGTCGTCAAGTTCCTCGGCAAAGAGAATGAAATCCCGGGGTTCCGTTTGGGAGTGGGGAAAAGTACTGATGTGCTTAACCGGCAGTTAAGGAAAGTTACCATTCCTTCTTTCTTCTGCCTCCTCTTCCTCCCTCCCTCCCTCTCCCGCCCTCTTCCCCATCACTTGCCGAGACAGTCTGTGGACAACCCATAAAATGGTCAGTCCCATGCCGTGGGTTAAGCATGATCAAAGGACCAAGGCCAAGCTGATTTTTGTCCTCCCTCTTTCTGTGTTCATCATTAAGATCTTTAAGGAGGATCGTTCATTCTGTGCTTCTCTTTCCTTCTCCTCTTTCACCAGTATTCTCCTCATGGTTGTCCAGATTTCTGATTTTTTGGGGGAGTGGGGTGGGGTAGGATGGAGAGGTGGTCGGGGTGGAGGTGAGGTGGTCGAGGAGGAAGGCTGCCATCCCGGGGTCAGGTGGGAGGTGGGACTTCACGACACTCACAGGTTGTAATTTTGAGGAGAAAGGGTACAATGAGGGCTGCTGATTTTGGGGTGCCAGCAAAGCCGCACTTACAGCTCAGAGGATGGTGGGCATCCGGCCACTGCTGTTATTCCGATTGTTGTTTTTCCGGGACAGGTTGGGAGTCGCCATGAGGACGAAGCGCTCGTCGGGACAGCCATACTGCAGGAGAATGTCAATGCACTCTTGGCTTGGGGCTTGCCTGGCGTACGCCAGCGCCGTGTTTCCATGGGCATCTCGAGCCATGACATCTACGCCATACTGCAGAGACAAGAAATTCCATTTTAAAGCACTAGGGAGGCAGGCTGGGGGTGGAGGAATTTGTTTCTTCATTCATGAGGCTGAATCAGAGCAAACATTAAAAAACAAATAAACCACATTTTGATAATTGTATTTCTGTGTGGTTTCTTTTTAAATTCTCTATGTTTCATATTGTGTATTTAAAAGCATTACCCTGAGAAAGGTTCCAAAGGCTTCACTAGAGTTCTGCTTAAGAGGTCAGGACACATACGTACACACACACACACACACACACACACACCCCCCTTGTGTGTTATCCTCCTCCTCTCCCCCCTTCCCCCTGACCTTCATCTGGAGCTAGAAGGAACCTCAGGGTTGGACTAATTCAAATTCAGTCCCCACATTTTCCAGATGAAGACAGGGAGAGAAAACACTTTCAGTGTGGAGGGGATGAGAAAGCTTCAGGGATAAGTGGATTGAAAGCTCCTCCTTAGACTGTAAGCTGCTTGAGGGCAGGGACTATTTTTGCCTTGCTTTGTATCCTTCGAACTTAGTAGGTGCTTAATAAATGCTTGTTTCATTTTGGTCTTTCTACCCCAGGACTGTTTTTAAGTGAGCACTTCATCAGTGTTTATAGAATTGAATATGAAATCAAGGGGAAAATGAGTTGGGAAATGCTAGACCCCCTAGCCTTCAGGACCTGGACAGTTGGACCATATCCCCATATTCTTTCGGTATCTTTATGTAGCTGAAAAAACACAAAAGCAAGCAAGATGGATGAGCCAATGAGAGCTTCAGGTTAACAATTTCCATTTTGGTTTCTGACTTGTCTCAAATTAATTTAGTCTATTTTTTAAAAATATGATTTTTCTTCCCCAGTCAAATGTACACTGGCACCTGGAGCACTGAAGGGCAAATGACTTGCCCAAGGTCACACAGTCAGTGTGGGTCGAGACCTGAACCCAGATCTTTGCAGCTCTGCCACTGCTGGTTGACTGATCTCTCAAGTCAGAAATCATTTCTTCTTCTTGAGAGACAAGAACCAGAGATTCTTCTTGAGAGGATAACCTGAGTTCAAATCTAGCCTCCCAAACTTACTAGCCATGTGATCAAGTGCAGGCCACTTAACCTCTCTCTGCTGTGGTTTTTTCATCTGTAAATGTGGATCATAATAGCACCCCTGTCACAGGGTTATGAAGATCCAATGAGATAATATTTGTAAAACACTCTGCCAACCTTAAAGTGTTATATAAATTCTGTTATTGTTATTTTTATTATTAGCCTTAGATTTTGAAGGATGAGCCCTTTGAGAACCACAGGGGTAGGGTGGTTTAGTAGATAAAATGAAAGGCTTGAAGTATAAGGAAGTACTAGGGAGACTCTCAAGTCCTGCCTTACCAGACACTTACCATCTATGTAAGTCTAGGCAGATCACTTGACCTCCCTGGGCCTCAGTTTCCTTATCTGTAAAATGGGGTCAGATAGGATGACCTCCAAGATCCCTTTCAGTTCTAAATCTGTGATCCTTGACAGTCATTTAACATTTCCCAGACTCAGTTTCCTCATCTGTAAAATGAAGGGTTGGTCGAGATGAGTTCCAAGGCCAATTCCATTCTAACTCTCATACCTCCTGATCAGGGGAGAACCCCTAACAACCATATCAATGACAAATGCCATTTGGCCCCCACGTGAGGCTCCTCAGGCTCTTCCAGGCAGATATCACAGGCCACTTGGTACCTCTCTGACCTCCTTTCTCTCCTGTACTGTGGATATTTGTGGCTTGTCCTCACCTCCTGGAGGCCAAGTGTTACGAGGATGGGAACACACATCTCATTCAATTTCTCCATCACCTAACATGGGGCTCTGCACACTTAAAAGTCTGTCAAGTTGAATATTATGGAACACCTTCAAGTACGATGAAGAAAGTTCAAAAACCACCCTCTGGGTGGAACCAGCTCACAGAGAGCGAGTGCTAGGTGCCTCACATGAGTGAAAGAATATGTCTTTCATCCGATTAGTACTTCTGGCCAATGCATCAAGATGGATTTTACCAAAGCCCTCCCATATGTGAACACAAATCAGAAAGTTACTAAAGCAGGGGCCTTAGGAAAAAGGTTTTGGGGGCTCAATTACCACCAGCTAGGATTTTTGCATTCTAGGAATGAGAAGGGAAAGACACTTTGATTCTGGAGAAATGAATTTGCTGTTTATGGTTTTTTTTTTTTTTAGGCAAAAAGGGAGGAAGGATTTTTTTTTTCTTAGAAACAGAAGAACAGCAGAAAAACCCAGCCTCTGATCTAGGCAGGATCTTTGACCTGAAGTCATGCATGGAAAGAGTTGGTCTAAGAAAGATCAAGTTTTCAGAAGACTGTTAGCAAACAGGGGTCCCAGGAAAACAGCTTTGGGATGTTTACCTATGGGACGCCTCACTGGAGACACTTCTTTCCTTCCAGATCCTTGCACGCCTGCCATTTTAAGGTCAGAGCGATACTGATACTTTCGCCAGTGATTCCAAACCAGCCCTACTCAATCCAACCCGACTCGTTCCGCTTCAAAAAACATTTATTAAGCATCTTCTTTATTGAAAGCACTATTCTAAGCACTAGAGACGCAAAGAACAAAAGGAAAAATAGCCCTTGACCTCAAGGACCTTATACAGACAACTTAGCTGTGCTCATGTCAGCGCCCCCCCCCAGCAGAATGTAAGCTACTAGAGGGCACAAGTTGCTTTGCTTCTGTCTTTGTAGGCATATAATAGTGTGAATTTGATTAAGTTAATTAATTAAGTGTATACATGATAGCCAGAGGAGAGAGAGAATCCCAAGTTGAGAGGATGAAGGCTGGTTTCCTGCAGAGGGTGGTGTATGAGCTGGGCCACTGGTCCCAGGCAGAGGGAAGCCTGTGCAATGAATGGGATGGATATTTCCCTGACAGTGCTAACAATGATGATGCTAGGGAATGGCTGGGTGGAGCAGTGAGTTTAAATTCTATTTTCAACTCTGATCAGTTGTGAATCCTGGGCAAGTCACTCACCCCTTTGAGCTTTTGTTCCTCATCTATAAAATGGGATAATATTACTTGTGTGATCAATGTCAAAAGACTTGTGGAAAAGATATCCTGTCAACCTTAACCTGTCAGAGCAATGCCAGCTGGCATGCGGATGTTCTATGGCAGTGGATTAGTATTTAAAGGATAGAGATCATAGGACTTCGTGCATATTTCATGGAATCATAGATTTGGAGTTGGAAGGAACCTTAGGTCACCTAGGCCAACCAATTGATTTTAAAGATGAGGAAACTGAGGCCCACAGAGTGGAAGTGACCCTCTCAAAGTCTCATACATGGAACGTGATAGATTAGTGCATGAAGAAGCAAGGAGAGAGTCCGGAATGTTTTCTGAGCTGTGAGGACCTTATGCATTGTGGGTTTCCCCCATCCTGTAGGAAAAGACCAACCAAGTGGCCATATTCCTTCTCCCCCCACCAAGTTGGAAACTCACCCAGATCAAGAGCTGTACCAGAACCACATTCCCCTTCCGGCAGGCGAGGTGCAGAGCTGTGCGTCCATCGCCCTCCCCGCAGGTCTCATTCACTTCTTCCCGTGACCCGTGGGCCAGGAGCAGGATGACAGTCCGCAAGTCCTCATCCGCTGTGGCCCTCAGCAGGTGCTGGCCCAGAGAGAGGTCCATGCACGGAAGAGGTGCCAGGAAGAGCTTTTGCTCATACTTAGCCCGTATCCACCGTTCCTTTTCTTCCCTGGAAGAGTAGTTGGTGAGATACCAGATCCTGGGTTAGTACACATAGGAGAAGGTTAAGAAGACTCTTCCCCTCCTCACAACCCCTCAGGAGTTTGGAGGGAGGTAAAACATTAAGTGTCAGGAGAGGTATTTCTTTTGTTTTTACATTAATGAGTGAATGAAAAACCATTTGAGTCTCAGGAGGTGACCCAGACAAGCAGTGGTGGTTCTAGCCTGATAAATCTCATATGTAGTTCAAAAACGAAGCTCTATGAATGTAATGGAGAGTCACAGTTTCTTACACAATCCTCTTTTTCTGTTCTTTGCACATGAAAATAAAGAGCTGACCTCAGCCTGGAAGACTTGGGTTAGGAGTCCTTTCACCTCTCATTATTCCAGGCAATACTCCTAAAACTGGCAAGAAGGTAGCGCTCATTGGGAGAAGAAGTGTCCTCACCTGAGAGCTCCCTAGACCAGTGAAATGGAGGATCAGGTTTCTAATGTCTATTGACATTTATTAAGTTCATCAAAAACAAGAACAAATCATTTATTAAGCTCCCTCTACATAGTTAATTTGCTAGGCACTGGACTGTCTCTTTTGTATGTAGTTCCCTGTACTGATTACAGGCTTGGTGCTGGAAGAAACTTTGTGCCTTATGTAGCCCACCTCTCTCATTTTACAGATGGAGAAACTGGGGCTAAGAGAAGCTTGGTGACACAGGGTCACTCCCATAAGAAGCAGTAGAGCTGGTCTTCTGCTGCCTCTCTTGGGGCAATACACTTTCCATTCCACACTGAGTAATTCTGCTCATTTTGGTTCCTCAAAGGAGGGGGCAGGGAAGAAAGCCTGGCTTCAAACAGAAAAGTTCACACTTCTGAACAGAACTCAGCAGTATCACTCTGTAGACAAAGAATGTCAGCATTTTTCAAAGAACAGGGTTGGCCTTTTCAAGTTGCCCTTCAAATTGGAAACCTATAAGAACAGTGTCTGGCAAAGTCCGACACCTCCCTCACCCCCAACAATTAGGAATTCAACAACTATTTCACGATGATGATGAAGAGAGAAAAAAAAATCCTTATATTAAAAAAATGGCAGGCAACCACTTCTATCAGAATTGGGATAGCACATTAAATTCTGAGGGCTCTCTGTCCTCAAATTCAGGATTTCAACTCAGTGTGTCCAGCCAAGCCCCCCAAAGAAGGAGTCCTAGGAAGAAAACTCATTATCCAGGCCATTTTCTGCCTGGAGTCCCCAAAGAAAGGGACTGTTTACACCTTTCAACCCTGTTGACATTACTGCTGGTAATCTAGTGTCAGGTTAGCCCTAATCTGTTTTTAAATACTTAGGCAAACAAATTCTTCCCCAGTAAATGTGGATTAGTTTTGCATCACTTCCTGGTCCAAGTGGAGTGACCTCAGAGTCACCCCTGTGACTCCTTTCATCCCAAGATTTCTAGGACAAGTATTTCCCTGTAGCTGAGCACGACATCCCTCATTATTCCTCATGCCGATGGACAGCCAACTCAAAATTCCCGCTGAACAAGAAATACAATGCCAAAGTATAGGAAAACAATGCCTCAATGTGTGTGAGTATGTGTGGGAGGCGTGGGGGGTTGGGGGAGAGAGGGGCAAAACCAAATCAAAGTCTGCTATTTTTTTTAATCATCATTTCAAACACAGTTGCCTGAAAAGCTTCTTAACTAACGGTCTTGTCTGAAACCAGTCCCCAAAGAGGACAATGGCAAAGTTTACATGAAGGATCTTGGAGGAATAGAGCAAAGGTGAAATTGACCAACAGAGCAGAGAAGTGAAATTGACATGGGGATGTTTAAAGCCTAGCGCCATTTGTCTTTCTCCGTGGGCATCATTTCCCTGAACAATTTAATATCCTTCCAGTTGCTTTTTAATAGTTATTGCAAAATCATCACAAGTGATAAAGCCAGAACTTATCACAGGGGTTATAACACTCACTGCAGTGATGGAATTTTCTCTTTATATTTCAAAATCCCTTAGCAAGAGAGCAATTATAATTACATAGCACTGCTCTTCTCTTTCCATCCATCAATATGTCCACAGTGAACATGAACTCTTAATGCGTTTTAAATGTGGCCGTTGGTGCTCAGTTCTTCCCTTCCCTTCAATCCACCAACCCACCCAAACACAGAACAGAAATGACCCACCCGCATGGTTAAGTAGGTTGCAGCTCAACTTCCCTCTACCTGACTGGGAACTCTGCTCACTTGATTGAATTGGAAGCCTCGGTTTGAATCCAGGCTCTTCTACTTACCAAATGTGCGTAACCTTGGGCAAAATCTCTTCACCTCTATGGGGTTCAGTTTCTCCCTCGTAAAATGACAGGGATAGACTAGATGTCCTGCAAAGCCCATTAGAGACCATGGCCTAATAACCTCCTTTCACGGATGAGGAAACTGAGACTCAGAGAGCTGTGGTGAAGCAGAGTCAGAGGCTTGTGTTCGAATCCTTCCCCTGACACATAGTAGGTGTGTGACCATGGAAAGCCACTTGACCTCCCTGGGCCTCAGTTTCCTCTTCTGCAAAATGAGGACACTCTTTGAGCTTCCTTCTAACTCTAGATCATAAGTGACCCACCTGGATGACCTTAATCACAACCTCTTTGGGCCTCAGTTTCCCCATCTGTAAAACAAGGGATTTAGATTAGGTGCTCTGAGGGCTCTTCCAGCTCCAGATTCCAGGATCATAGATTTAGAGCATCTTAGAGACCACTGACTCCGACGACCTCATTTCACATGAAGAACGTGAGACACAGAAAAGGTTCAGTGATTTGCCTAGGATGATATCTAGTAAGTGTCCGAGACAGGATCTGAACCCAGGTCTTCCTAAGTCCCAGTCCAGTGCTCTGCCCATAATTCAATGATGTCTCTGGACCTCTCATCTTGGGTCCTAAGTCCTCTAAGTCTTCATTTGTAAAACGAGGGGGGCTAGGTCATCTACGTCCATGACACTGGGCACATCCTTTCCTTTCTCTGAGCTTTATTTCCCTACGATGAAGAGGAGGGCTTTGGGAAGACATGACGTGCAAGGTGTCCTTTAGCTTGGGACTTCTGGTCTGAAAGCGTCTTTGGCCAAGAACACTTTTCTGAGCAGCATCTTTCCACACCAGAAGCTTACAAAGAAGCCATAAAAGAGGCCAAAGGAGCCTGTGTGCCTCCATCCTTCCTTTGTCCCTCTTGGGCTGGCAATGATATCCTGCCTATGGATGTGCACACAAGCTGTGGCATCCTTTATGTCCAAGGTAACCATGAAGGGGTGGCTTGCAGGAAACTGAAGCTCTAAATCAACACTTCTCCTTTATTCACCATTCAGCCATGTTTTCATCATTTTCAGAGGGAGGGGGTGGGAGCAGAGGGTTAAGGAGAACTATGGGGTTTCCAGGAGATGGGAGTGCCTGTGTTTAAATCAGGCAGGGGCCGAGCCAAACATGGGAGGCCCCAGCCTGGGCAAGACTTCAGACAAGGGAGTTTCATGCTTCAAGGGCTTTAAGTGCCCCCTCCCTCTATTCACCATCCTGGGACCTTAGTTCCTTCATCTGTAAAACAAGGGTTAGACCAGACAATGTTCAAAATAGTATATTCCAGTTCAAAAACTATTATAACCCTATGACCCAGGGCTTTGGAGCCTTGAAGGAGAAGAAATTCTGGCCCCCTCAAAATTTTGGTTGTACAAAGCAAAAAACTGGGTAAAAATCACATAATTGGAAACTGAGTCAATTCCTTCCATCCTTCCTCCTCTTTCTTTTTCTTTCCCTTTCCTTTCATCTTTCTTTCTTTAAGTGGAGCAGTAAATTTACTTTTAAGGATGTATGTCCTGTATGGATAACAGATTTAGAACACTTCCCACTGCATCATGGTGCTTCCCTAAGTTCCTCATTTAACAGATGAAGAAACTGAGGTCCACAGTCTCCCACTGGTTCAGTGTCTGAGGCAGAATTTGAATCCATGTCTTCTTGACTCCAAGTCCAGCCCTTTTGCCATTCTGTCATCATCTGGAGGAGGACAGCCCCCGGCGGTAGCAGCTTCTTCCTGGATTGTGATGGCCCCTGATGGAGGCACATGCAGGATGGGATCTCTCTCTCTTTTCTCTGGAACATCTGGTCTGGCACATCCTCAGGTGAAACCAAAGTGGTGTCTACTCCCTCTCTTCCTAAACACTCACCTTTTCCTTCTGTCATAAAGATCTCTGGCCTGAAGACATTTTTCTATCATGGCCTCCCTTAACTACTACTACTACTACTACTACTACTACTACTACTACAAATGATGATAATAATAATAATAACAATAACAGCTAGCATTTATAAAGCACTTACTATGTGCCAGGCAATGTTCTCAGCACTTTACCATTATTATCTCATTTGATCTCTATAACAACCCTGCTATTATTATCTCCATTTTATAAGTAAGAAAATCAAAGGAGACAGAGGTTAAGTGACTTGTCTAGGGTCACACAGCTACTAAGTATCAGAGTCAGGATCTGAATTCAGGGCTTTTTGACTCCAGGTCCAAGGCTCTATCCATTGCCCTGGCTTCTAACCTTGTCCCTTCAACTTTTATGTGGATGGCTAATACCAAAGTCAGAATTTTCTCAGTTTCTCTCTCTCTCTCTCTCTCTCTCTCTCTCTCTCTCTCTCTCTCTCTCTCTCTCTCTCTCTCTCTCTCTCTCTCTCTCTCTCCCCTAAATCTGTTCACCCTAGAAATCATGCCTCAGACACAAATACTCTAATTGTTGCCCCGATGGCCCAATTTGACATCAGGGATCCACAGCTTGTCTTGGTTGAGTCTTCCATGCTCCCAGAGGAAGGCCAGTCCAAGAGCAGAGTTGTCAGCAGTACATCACCTCCCCTCGTTCCAATCCCCTGAAGGACCACTGCTCACATCCCCCGTTAGCTAATGAGCTAAAAAATGAATTATTGGAGCGGTCAGCAAGGAGCAGAAAGAGGAGGCTCAGTGCTTCATTTCAGCCCTGTGCTGACATACCTTT